TCCCACCCCTCCGCCGCGTGGGCCACCGCCGCATTCCCGACGCCCCGCTTCCCGCCTCCTCCCTGCGCGAATCCTGGTCCCCAGTCTCCACTCTTGATGGACTAGGCGATCGCGAGCGCAGCAACAGCGTCTCTTCCACCTCGTCGAACCTCCCCTGGAACACCTTCCTGTCCACTGTCGTCCCTGATCCCGTCGCGCCCACCGCCGAGTCTTCCTTTGCATCTGCTGCCGCCAGCGCCTCCTTTACAGCCTCGTCGTCGCGCGCCAGCAGCTCCAACTCGGCCGCCTCCTCGCGCACCCACCTGACAGTCCCCAGCCGCCGTGCAAGTCCACCACCAAATGACACGTTTATGCGCGCCTGCGACACGAGCGACGAAGACACCGCATCCGACACGGAGGATGAAACCCAGGCGAATGTGCTGAGTCGCCGGCGCATGCGACCAAGTTACTTCGCGGACGAGCCGCCGACGCCAGAACGTCACTCGCGGCGCGTACTGCAGAGAAGCAGAGACGCAAGCGCATACGTACGGTCGTTCTACTCCAACGCCCAAGCCGCCGACGAGGCGAGAATAGAGCAGCCCGACGGGCCGATCGATATTGCCGACGAACCCACGAGTTTCGAGACGGTCGAGGACGACGTACTCCCCGCGACCGGCCTGTCGTCGCCGCTCGACCAAGAATTGCGCGATGCGCGGTCACTACTGGAACGACTAACGCGTCGCGACGACGTGAGCGACGACTTCTGGGCCTCTGTCGGCCTAACACGTTCATTCGCAGACGGCGTCGAGCGCGTCCAGGAACGGGGGCGCTTCTAGTCTCACAATCATACTACAACACGCCACATCCCCATTACCCGGCGCGAGAGTCGCAGGCCGGTCCTCCCACTCTACCTCCACCTCGTCTTCTCGGCCTTGTTGTTGATCAAACCACCTTTTCCTCTTCTTCCAACCAAGCGACGTCTCTGTACTTCCATCCCCGTCTTTTACTTTTGAGCGTTCCAGGTTCTTTTTTCCACGGCGTTATCGATCATCCAACTACCTGCTTGCCAGAAGGAAAGCACTACACTACAAAAAACTTCCCATGAATATCAAGAAAAAACCTAAACGTGGAGAAAATGGGAATACACGAGGGTCTATGAATCTATTAGCGAGTGAATGGGCAAGGGGGACGACGAGTTGAAGAAAGCACTTTGGGGCCTTTGGCGGCAGGCAGACAAACACATTACACATGTAACAAAGGAGACGAAATAAATGAAATCTAGCGTGGATAGCAGGTAGGATAATTATGTAGACTTGTTACCAAAAAGCGCACCTTTTATCTGATCCTGCTACTTTTCTCTCTATACCTACCCACCCTCATACCTTCCTTCCCCTTCCCCTTCCCCTTCCCCAAAAGAAAAACTCCCCACTCCACCTCCTCTCTGCCTCACCCAACCACCTTTCCATCGCAAAAAGAGAAAAGAAAAGCAAAAAGAAGCATCTCCGGCGGGGCTCGAACCCGCAGCCTTTGGATGACCCAGAACCATTTTGAAAACGGCGATAGAGAAGGTAGAAGTCCAACGCGCTACCATTGCGCCACGGAGACCTGAACTGTGAAGTTGCTTGGATTGTAGGGACTTCTGACATATTGTTGAATAAATCGATATATATATTAAGTTTCAAAATGAGGAAGTAAGGGAATGATGGGAGAATGGAGGCAAGGTATGGAGTTGTCTCATTATGTTATGCGCAAAGTTAAATAGGAATAGGTGTTTTTCACGATTCAAACATGGCTAGACATGTCTGGCTTCCTGTTCTGTACAATTTCATGTGATTATTGAGCGTTATCATGACAGACTCACGCCCCGTTCGCTACACCTCTGATATTGATGCCGCCTCCGCCATTCGAACCCGCGCCGCGGATATTGATGCCCTCCGTGTCGCGCGATATGCGGTCCACGAGCCCGCGGCGGGGTTTCGGCTCGTCGAATTCGTAGTCGCGGGGTATGCTGTCGTCGCCTTTTAGTCGGCCATACCCGTCGTCTGAACCACTGCGTGTGATGCGGCTGGCCAGCGATCGCGGCCTCGGCTCACCGTCATCGTCGTCGTCGCGTGTCATTCGACTAGCGAGCGAGTTGACCGGTCTGCCGTCCTTGGTCATGCGGGACAAAAGAGAGCCGCCTGAGCCAGCGTCTGAACGGCGGTGGTTGCCCATGGGCGACGTGTCAACGAAGAAGGCGTCTTTTTGCCATCGGCCTGCCTCCGACTTTGAGCCTCGCTCGCCGTAGTTTGCGCGGTCGTGGGTCCAGCGGTCGGCGCTGGGTTCGCGGCGACGGCGCGCGTTGCGACTGCGGCTTCGGCTGCGGTAGCGGGTGCGCACGTTGCTGTTGTCTTCTGCGAAGCCGAAGCGGCCGTCGCCTTCGTCGTTGGATGCTGGAGAGGCGCTGCGGCCTCGAAGTCGGCCATGCCGCGATTCGTTGGGGCTGGAAATCTGTTAGCTTGGTCAAGTGTGCTAGTCGTCAACAACGTACCCATCTGAGCCGGGTCGGTAGGAGTCGACGTCGGCATTGAGCCTGCCAGAATCTCTTGGTCTACCCCCTCTGTCACGGCGGTCCCGGCCGTTGCGATCGTTGCGATCGTTGCGCGGGTAGTTGTTCCTCCGCCTCTCTACACCAGAATCCTCGCCCATTGACTCGTCCCCACTGCGACTGTTGCATGTTAGTGTGGTGCATAACAACCCTGCAACCGCATGCTCACCTTCTCCTCCTCCGACTCCGCGAGCCTGCATCCTCATCACCGTAGTCTAGCACGTCTCTCTTCGGCGGTTGGCGGCGACGCGGCTCCCGCTGGTTGTTTCCTCGAACATCTGGGTTGCGCTGGTAGTAGTTGCTGCGGTTGGCTGCGCCTTTGGGCTTCTGGTCGCCAGCATTCGTTTCCCGTATCATCAGTACACTCTCCGGCTTCTTCGAGAATGGCTTGGCCTGTCGAGGCGTTTGCGCAGCGAGCGAGCTTGGGTTTGTGTCGGGATGGGTAAAGGCGGTCAGCGCAATGGCTGCGTCTTCAGCGCTGTAGAACTCGAGGTTCACCGACGAGTCGTTGACCCAGCGCAGCTGCTTGACGCGCGGTTCTGCGCCGAGTGCCTCCATGGCGTAGTAGAGAGGGTCGTTTGGGTCAAAGTCTCCTACGCCCTGCAGGTTCAGCGCCTCGGGCCATGGCTTCTGCGGCTGGAGGTCTTCAAAGTATGCCGCGGGGACTGAGTCGTTTTGTGTCGTGGTTTCTGGCTGCTGCGCGTCTATCAGCATGGCATCGCTCCGACGCGCCTGGCGCAGCTTACTTGTTGCTGAGGCTGCGCGCTGGTCTGCACGCCGGCACCGACATCAATGTCGATGTCGTATGCAACGTCTCCCATTTCGACGTCCATTATGGCGGTTTTACGTGGCTAGTCTTGGTGCAATTGGCAGACGCAGAAAGGCGCGGGGTGACTGAGAGGTGAGCTCAGCCCGAGTCCGAGAGATGGTGCAGCCGGCCCTCGATGCGGTCAGTAGCGCCATCACGTAAGCTATGATGCATGAGCTCAAACAGAGGACTACAATGACCTCGGTCTTTGTTTGTACTATTTATGGCGACTCGACATTTTACGCTCAGCCTTCATCGACTGCTCATGGGTTCTCCTCCAAGGTAAAGGTGCCCGTCTTTGTGATCAGGTACTCGTTGACTGCCACGTCCTTCCCAGACTCCTTTCCATATCCACTTTGCTTGATGCCTCCAAACGGCGACTCGGCTGCCGATGAGTTGCCTGCAAGTGTTAGCCCATCCGTTCTCACGTATATCGCCGCTTTGCATCGACTTACCAGTGTTCAACCCAATCATGCCAGCCTCGAGGCTTTCAAACAATCTCCACATTCGGTCTACATTCTTGGTGAAGAGATAGGACGCAAGACCCATGGAAGTGTCGTTTGCCTTCTGCACCACTTCTTCTTCCGTGTCGAACTTGATAAATGTGCAGATTGGTGAGAAGACTTCCTCTTGAGCAATGTCCATGTCAGGCGTCACACCAGTGATGACGGTTGGCTCGAAAAAGTATCCTCCGTTCTTCTCAATCTTATTGCCACCCTTGTGGATCTTTGCACCCTTCTTCTTCGCATCCTCAACAAGTTCAAGCGCCTTCTGAGCACCACGAGGTGTCGTTACTGGACCCATGGTAGTCTTTTCGTCGGAACCGTGCCCAACAACAATCTTGTCCGTCTCGGCGTTCCAGCGTTCGAGGAACTTGTCGAAGATACCCGCTTGGACGTAGATTCGGTTTGCTGTGATACAGGCTTGGCCCGCATGACGATATTTCAGAGCGAAGATTTGGGTCATGGCTTGGTCAATGTTCGCATCGTCGAATATCAGAACTGGACAGTTACCTCCCAGCTCTAGAGTTACTTTCTTCAGGTTATCCGCGCAGATCTTTGCTACCAGCTTGCCGACCCTGGTCGAGCCCGTAAAAGTGACCTTGCCGACGAGTGGGTGACGGCAGAGCGCTTCACTAAGCTCGGGTGTCTTGTCGAGGTCTGTGGTCAACACGTTCAGTGCTCCCTTTGGAAATCCAGCTTTCTGTGCCAGGTGGGCCAATGCAAGGACCGTGATCGGCGTCTCGGGGCTGGGCTTGACGACCATTGTGCATCCTGCAGCGAGAGCTGCTCCAGCCTTCCGCAAGATCATAGCAATAGGAAAGTTCCATGGAACCAAAGCCACAGCGACACCAATAGGTTGCTTAATCGTGAAGATGCGGCGGTTCGGCAGAGCAGGTGTAAAGACGCTACCCTGGATGCGTTCTGCTTCACCAGCAAACCACCACGTGAAGCCAGTCGAATAGTCGATCTCGCCATACGCCTCAGAGCGAGGCTTGCCAGTCTCGTAAACAATCATTGTCGCAATGTCTTCTCGATTCTCGCGGATCAACTGGTCCCACTTATACAGGAACTGTGCTCTTTGGCGAGGACTAATCTTCTTGTACTCGAGGAAGGCCTTGTGGGAGCTCTCTACAGCAGCATCGACATCGGAGGCATCGTTTGTAGGGCATTCAATCCATGCCTTTCCCGTGCCAGGGTCTATTTTTCTGTTAATTCAAATCTGCGAGGCACATAGCATGAACTGACCAACAACTTCAAAGGTCTTCCCAGACTTAGCATTCACCCATTCTCCGCCGATGTGCGACTGGTTGTGCAGAAGATCCGGGTTGTTAAGCTGTCATAGATCAGGTACCATCCCATGCCAACATCTGCTCATTGCTCACCTTGAACGGAAGCTCGTACTTCTGCGCTGAACCCATCTTCACCGTAATTGCAGTAACTTGAGCTTGCTAAGACAGCAGAAAGTTTCTCAAAACAGTTGGACAAGAACGTAGATCGTGAACACCTTTTTGAGTCTGCTGTGTAATGACATCTATCTGTTAACCCCACACTAGAATCCATATAGCCGATCAAATGGAACCAATGAGCGTGCATCGAGCCCGACCACCACCGCTCCTCGAATGCGACGTCAGCACAGTACCCCTCACCACGCTCCTCATTTCCGCGGTTCGGCAACGCTATGATTGGTAAACCGATGGACCCAGACACGTTGAAGGATGGGGAGAAGGTCGTCACTGCTCGGTTATATCGCTGCTACCAAATACATCTTGTCCACAACAACACCACTACTCTAATTGCATTCCAAATACTATACACTCCCACCTAACGCACTACCACAACCAATTTGAACACCAAACTTCTAAAACTCCACACAATGGGAAGACTTGACGGCAAAGTCGCAATCGTAACTGGTGACCCCTCCTTTGTCACCACCACACTCAACAACGTCAACTAACTCCAATCCCAGGCGCGGGCTCAGGTTTCGGTGCAGGTATAGCCCTACGCTTCGCCTCCGAAGGCTGCAAGGTCCTCGTCTGCGACATCAACTCCAAAGGCGGCGAAGCCACAGCCGCCAAGGACTCCTCATCGCTCGCCTTCCACAAGATGGATGTGACTAAGAGTGCGGACTGGAAGAGCACTATGGCAGCTGCACAGGAGAAGTTTGGGCGCTGCGACATTCTTGTCAACAATGCAGGCTGGAGTTACACTAACAAGGCGACGAGTGAAGTGACGGAGGAGGAGTTCGAGAGGGTGTTTGATGTCAACGTAAAGGGAGTGTATTTGGGGTGTCAGGCATGGGTGGGACAGGCGATAGAGCGGAAAGAGGGGGGCGTGGTGATCAACATTGCGAGTGTGGGGGCTACGAGACCAAGACCAGGGTTGGTGTGGTACAATGCGTCGAAGGGCGCGGTGTGGAATGTGAGTTCATCTTCTTTTCATCGATCAGATGGCTTGTGGAGAGGAAACAAAGTGGCTAACAACCGTATAGGCAACAAAAGGTCTCGCGGCCGAATATGGCCCTCACCAAATCCGCGTAAACTCCATCTGCCCCCTTGTCACTGCCACAGGACTGTTCTCTGCTTTCACTGGAATGGAAGATACACCCGAAAACAGGACGAAATTTACGAGCAACGTGCCCATGGGTCGAATTGGAGAAGTAGAAGACGTTGTGAACGCGTGTGTGTTCATGGCTAGTGACGAGGCGAAG